TGGTTGTGTGGGTGGGGCTGCGAGGGCAGGTGATGACACTTGTCTGTGTCCCCCAGAGCCATCCAGGAGAGCATGTTCCTGCAGTCGGGGCAGGGCCTAGCCACAACCGAGTCTGGCAGCGGAGGTGACACTGACAGCAGCATCATCCCCCCGGAAGGCAGCCCGGCCCCTAGCACCAATGGCTCTTCCTCCTCGGCCCTGCCCCCGCCGGCCTACCCCAGCTTCGACGAGCAGCTGCGCCTGGCCATGGAGCTGTCCTCACGAGAACAGGAGGAGCAGGAGCGCCGGCGGCGCGAAGAGGATGAGGAGCTGCAGCGCATCCTCCAGCTCTCCCTGACGGAGAAGTAATGCCCCAGCCTGTGAGCAGGGGGCCCTGAACCCAACCTCCTTCAAGACTCCTGGGGCTCCCCAATGCCCTGGCTTTTCTGTCGTTGTATTTCTAACCTTGAGGGAGTCACCTGTCCCATTCCCCACCCCCTGTCCTGAGGAGGAGCAGAACCGGACTGGACGAGACATCCTGTGCCTTTCCCGGGGCTCTCGGTCTCGCCGCCTCCTGGGTCTTATTTAAGTTAACTCTTTTTTATGGTTATTCTATCCCCCCTGCCCAGTGGAGGAAAGTGTTTGCACCACTAGGAGGGAACAGAGGAGAGGAGGACCGACAAAGCGGCAAACCCTAAGGAGAACCCTCTGCTAGAGAGAGAGAGCAGTTTCCAACTGGACTCTTTAATTCGCGTTGGTGGAGGGAGTGGGATTCTGAAACTGGGCATAAAGATATACATCCACATGCACGCGTATGCTGACTGTATCCTGTCAGACCCACGTGGGCGGTAGGGGTGAGGGCAGTGAAGGTGGTGGGATTAGAGGTGATGGGGGTCAGAACCTGATGGCTGGGATGCGGACGTTGCATTAGTGGGATGTAGCACTCAGAGGCAGGCCTGTGATCTCGCCTCCCGAGCCCTGTGTGCGTAGCTGCCGCGCCCTCTCCTGCCTGTTTAATTTATTTTATTTATATCTCTGCAGCTCTAGAATGGGGAGCGGGAAGGGTGGGGGGTTGGGTTTGTTTTTTTTAAACTCCAAAGGTTGGAAAGGGAATGGCTGCGTTGAGCGGCTCCTCCTGGCACCCACAGGGGCTAGGTGTGGGACTCTGGGCAGCAGGAACCATGAAATAAAAAGAAGAAACCAACCAATCCCCCCAGTTCTCCGGCTCCCTTCATTCTTCTTGTCACAAGCTCCAGCCTGGGCTTTCACTGGTGCATCAGCAACCTGAGGGAGGGAATATCCTGCACGGAACATCTCCTTTGCTTTGGGGTCCCTCTCTGGCCAGCTTCCCCAGTGCAGACAGGCCTGGCTAAGTGCCCATTGCTGCGCTGGCTGGTTTCTCCTAGCTTCCAAAACAGGCAGCTCTGTGAGTGCTGCTAGAGAGCTCATATGTTACTTAAAGGGATACCACCCTATTCCTCACCACTACTGGCATGCTCAACAACCAAGCAAGATCCAGAAATGCCTGTGCCCAGGGCCCAAGGGAACCATGCCTGGGCCTGGGCGTCTAGGGCAGAGATCGGGCCAAGTGGTTGCGCTGGCTTGCTTTCATGAGCATTATGAATCTGTGAGCTACAATCCCCATATCTATCCCCCTTCTTGCTACTCCAGATCCCATTAGGAAAGTCATAAGAAGAAGAATTTCTGCTGTAAATTGGGGCTTGGTGGTTGAAAACAGCAGAGGAGAAAGACCCTGGGGGTATGAGCTGTTCACAAGCTGATGATGAGCCACGGCTGTGCAAAAGGGATCCAAGCATGTAGCAGATGAGTTCGTGCTGTTGTACAAGGCACCAAGGAGCCTGCATCTGGACCAGTAAGTGCCATTCCCGGCACTGGGTTTTGCAAGAGAGGTGGGCAAACTAGAGAGAGGCCAGAGAGGAGCAACAAAAATGATGTGGGTTTTAAAACGCTGACCCATAAAGAAAAGTTAAAAACTGGGCACATTTAGGCTTCAGACAAGATGGCAGAGGGTGGAATGTAGTAAGACTTCAAATACATGAAGGGCTGTTATAACGAGGCTGGAGATCAGTTCTTGATTATATGGTAAGAAAACCTTTCCAACTCAATTGCTACATCTACACTAGGGAAAGTTTTGCAATAAAAGTCTGTCAACACGCAAAAGATGCCAAAAGCGAAAGCCGGTTTTTCTGCTTCCTATTATCGACATTTCATAGCCATGTTGTCAGCACCTTGTTGACCAAGCAAAGTAATGTGGGTGAGCATCCCACAGTGCAGTGTTGTGAAAAGGTGGACCTGATCTCACTGCTTCTTGAGATTCCCTCGCGGCTCTGTGAGTTCTCTATGCTGAGGAATGGCAAAGCAGCAAAGCAGTCTCTCCAGCCTTACCCTGGCAGCAAGTCTGCCTGCCACTGTGTTCTTAGCAGGGCAGAACAGAAGAATGCTAATGGTTTGCTCTTTGTTCCCCAAGTGGAGCAGTTTGCTCAGCCATCAGATACTTCCCAGAGCTCTGAAAGAGGAAGGGTGCCTGCCTGCAGGGCAGCAGAGATCATAAAACACTGAGCACAGCAATCAGGGCAGGCACTGTGGGACACTGGCAGAAGCCAAATCACTTGACAAAACAAACAGCAGAGTCCACACTAGCTCTTTGTCAACAACAAAGGGATGGGAAAAGACAAGTCTCTTGCAGGGGTGGACTATTTTTATGACAAAAGTGGGTGTTTTCCCGACAAAAGTCACATTGAAGTGTAAAAGTCACTGTTTTGTAGTCAAAAGGCAGGTTTTAACAACAAAACATGCTAGTATAGACACCCAAATTGTGGAATCCTCAGCACTGGAGGTTTGAAGAACAGGTGGGAAAAACCCCTGTCAGGGATAGTCTAGTTGCTTGGTCCTGCCCCAGTACATGGGGCTGGACAGGCCACCCTCTCCTGGTCCTTTTGGGTCCTGCACTTTGCTGGCTGTACAAGCAGGAGCCTGTTTGCTGAGCTGAGAAGAGACTGTAATTTGGATTGTTTTCTCTGCATGTTGCTTGAGTGGGGCTCTGTATCTGTGCAGCAGGAAGAGAGCTGAGCCATTTAAAAGAAAGGACAATGTGGCTACAAGAAGGAAGGGAGAGAAAGTGGCCAAGAGTAAACTTAGGCTGGGAACTAAAAATGGGTTCTACCCACCAGAGGAGTGAGGGGCTGGCCCAGTCTCCCAGTCTGGAAGTGGGGCACCAAATAAACCTATTTTTAAGGTGGAGCGTGGCAAGTCTATGACTAGGATTGTATGTTGGGGTCACCTGGGAGAGCAGGCGACAGGATGTGATCCCCTGGGCCACCCTGACCAGTTATGTGTTCCCATGGCTATGCTCTCCTCCCCATCACATCCCCAAAGTTGCCACCAACAGGGCCTTGAACTAGAGCCATCAAAGCAACCCCAACACCAGGTGGCTGCTGCCTGGGTTGGGGGCAGGGTGTTATCCCAGGCCAGGGAGCTGCTGCTCTGGCCCTTCCAACTTCACATTGCAGAGCACAGAGGCTCCAAACAGCAAAGCCAGGACACTGAGGCCCTGGGAATTAGCGGGGGAAGTGCCTAGGACAGGAATAGCAGGTTCAGCGGCTGCTAGCAACTGAGGTGCATTAACAGAACGGGGGGAGGGAGGGA